CTAAGAAAGAATTGGTGGGATGGGAGGGAGGTCTTTTAGTTACTTAACTGGGGAAGGAAAAAGTGGGCTGAACATTTCCTGGTTGAGCAAGAGGATTGTGACATGATATGCTTGTATTTTGGAGAGAAGGGTTTTGTGGAGCCAGGCCTAAGGAGAACGCTCTCTGACTGGGGAGTCAGCAGAACAAAAAACACAGAGAACGGGGCAGACCCCAGGGCCACTGATGGGGCAGAGGCTGCCCGCCAATTGGAGCCCTGGAGGCTGCTTCTGTCCCTTAGCTGGGGCCTCAGAGCTCCTTTCACAGCCCAGCCCTGTTGATACAAGAGAAAATATGAGGGGTATGAGAAGGGCTGTGTCCCAGGCTTTTGTTGAGCCCCTGGGATGTGCCCCACCAGATTTTGTTCCTTGGCTTAGTGCAGTAAAGAATTCAAGAGAAAGCCAGTGTTGAGTAAAGGTAGATTTATTCAGAGAGATACACTGAAATGCAAGAGAAATGTCACGAGGTGTGGGGGTTTGATGCTCAGATTAAAAGTAGGTACACACTCCACAGACAGAGTGTGGGCCTTCTCCAAAGAGGGAGAGAGAGTGGTGACCGCGAGGTGGCACTGTGTTGCTTGTTTTCTTGGGCTTGGTGGTTTCATATGCTAATAAGTAGAAGGACCAGCCTTAGGGCAAGGGGCTGGGATTCCAAGGGAGATGGCCATTTCCCACCATTTGACCTTTTGTGGCTATTTTTGGGACTGCCATGTTGCCTGGGGCAGTGTTATTCACCATGTTACTATTACAATGGGTGTATAATGAAGCTCAAGATCTCCTAGAAGTTAAATCTCATCCTGAGCCTCAAGGCCTATTGGGGTTTGAATCCTTCACCATTTTGATGTTAATTGCTGTGGCCTTCCTTGAATGGCTGTGCTCTGCCTCCTTCCATCCTCTCTCACTGTGATGACACAGAGACAGCAAAGGCCGGGCCCTGCATGTGCTCCTACATTTAACAGCGGGAGGTGTGGGGTGGGCTGAGGATGACTCTGAGTGGTGAGAAGGATGTTTCAGATTTTCCCACGTGAGACATGGGGACCTGATAGCAGCCACCGCAGATTTATCTCATGGGCATTATCGCTTGTGTTGTTACGGAAACAACAGTCCAGCCAAGAAACAAGCACCACTCAGAGTGTTGGAGCACTGAGATTTATTACGCCGGCGGGCTAAGAGGGACATCTGTTCCGAAGCTCTGAGCACCTCCAAGACCTGCACATGAGGTTTTATAGGGTTAATTACAAGTATGGGGCTATTAGCCAATAAGGCTCAAACAACAAAAAGCAAGGAATCAGTACACTGAAGCTTATCAATTTGGAACAGATCACGTTACTGACAATTGTTGACCTTGGATTTATGAGTTAGCTTGTTAGCCCCGTAAACTGACACTGAACTTCAGATTTACGAGTTAGCCCAGCAAAACTTAGATCAGTAAGCCGACATTTATCACACTTAGATTTGTGACTTAGATTGTTATCCCAGCTGGGCTTTTCGTTCACAGTCTCTCATCTTTTCTATATTTTTTTTAAAGTATTTAATTCAAATTTAATATCAGTTTTTTTTGGAAAGAAATTTCTCTTTTTCTGATCTTTGGGGCTCTTTTGGGGGGATAGGTAATTAGGTGTATTTATCTGTTAGTGGAGGCCATGGGGCTTAAGCCCAGGACCTCGTGCACGCTAAGCACATGCTCTACCACCCGCCCCATCATCTTTTTGCTTTAGTTGCCAAGAATCTTACAGCTGAATTTCTAGTCAGCCTTTAACACTTGCCCTGACTTCATGGAATCCATTTTTATGACTTTATCTTCCCCTGGTTTCATTTAAGTATTGAATCTCCATTTTCTCTTCACTCTCAGTTTTGCCTTTTTGCGGTTATGGTTGCTAAGCTGTGTTTGAAAAATTGTTCAATTTCTCTTTTAGCAGGAGGCTGAAAGTAAATAAATATGTAAACATACAGCACACTTAAATGCTTTTATACATTCTAAGCTGTTTAATAGTTACTTAAAAACCGAATTGAATATTAAAGTGATAAATTTTTAAAAATATTTTTTAATTTTCATAAAGACACAGCGGATTTAAAATATAATATATGTTTCACGTGTACAATAGTTGCTCCATTTATAGTTGCTGTAAAACATTGTGTGTATTCCCGGTGTTGTAAGATACATCCCTCTAGCGTTATTTACATT